GTGCATGCACTGTGCGCCCCAGGGGCGGGCCCCAGGCTGCGTGCCAGCGGCTGTGGCTGGCCTGCAACATGCACCGTGTGCTTGGGGGTGGCACCGCGCGCCTGGGCCCAGGGCACCAAAAGGGCTCAGGCTGGCCCTGCTGGGCAGGGGAGCTCTCCAGAGCAGCCATGAAAGCTGCAGAAATAAAGATGGTGGAAGGCAGCAGGAGCCTGCTGTGGCCAAGAAACCTCAAAATGCATTTAAATGCAGTTTCTTAAAGGGGCAGAGCCTTATTTAGACTTTTTTTGTCTTGTTTTGCTCGACAGCTTTGCTCCGGTTCTTTGTGCTGGATCCACTGCTATCTTGGCTCTTTGCCCAGAATGAGTTGGCCACCCCTGTGTTAGCAATTTTCAAGTACCTACAAGGGTGTAATGAGTAGGGAGAGACATTTTTCTCCTTGACCTCTGATGATAGGACAAGAAGCAATGGGCTTAAATTGCAACAAGAGAGGTTTAGGATGGACATTAGGGGTGCATCTACACTGCACCGTTATTTCGAGATAACTAGAGTTATTTCGAAATAACAATGTGTCTACACAGCCATTCCATTATTTTGAAATAACAGACACCTTATTCCGAAATCTGAAAACCTCATCCTATGAGGAATAATGGCTATTCTGAAATAGCTATTTTGAAATAAGACATGTGTAGATGCTTACATGCTCCACTGCTGCTATTTTGAAATAGCCCCTCACCAGGGCCATTCTAGGTTATTCTTCCCCAGTGCCTCTTGCAGCTCTAAATCGAGATAGCACGTCTACATTAGGGAAGCCGGCCTTGGACTCATTTTGAGGCTTCCCTGCAGTGTAAACTTGCTATTTCGAAACTATTGCTTATTTCAAAACAAAGTGTGCAGTGTAGACGTACCTTAGAAAAAACTTCCTTTCAGGATGGTTAAACACTGGAATAAATTGCCTAGGGAGGTTATGGAATCTCTATCATTGGAGACATTCAAGAGCAGGTTAGATAGACATCTATCGGAAATGATTCTTAAATCAGGGCTACTCAACACGTGAGCCACTTGCAGCACATTCCCCATTTGAGGCCTGCGATGTAGTTTGGGTTTACGCAGAGCTCAACATTGACCCGTAAGTGGGATGCTTTGAACATGGCCTCCACTGGGAACATGCTCCACGATGGCGAGGCATCTCAGGCAGGGTGAGCATCGAAGCATGCAAGCAGATGGGCTGGCTGGAACTGACTGGTACAGGGTGTTGGCATTTCTAGCCCCCAGGAAGAGGTGCTGGGAGCATTGGGGCATTGTGGGAAGTGCTGGCTGCTTAACCTTGTCGGCAGAGCCTGAGAAGTGCAGACTGGCTCACACTGACCATGTTTGGGTCCAGCACCATGGCTTAAGGCTTAATCTTTGTATTCATGCCTATCAGTGTGAAATAAGCTATTTGCATATCTATTTGCATGTATATGCAACCACACTTAAGTTGCAGCTCTCGGCATGTGCTGTGAGTATCAATGTGGCCCCCGGGGCTTCCAAAGTTGAGTAGCCCTGATCTAGATGATATTTGGTCCTTCTGGGAGTACAGGAGACTGTACTTGATGACCTCTCAAGGTCCCTTCCTGTTCTAGTATTCTATGAATCCATGAGGCTACCACATCTGTACACCCACATTTTGAATACTGTGTACAGATGTGGTAGCCTCATCTTAAAAAAGATACCTTGACATTAGAAAAAGTTCAAAAAAAGGGCAACAAAAATTATTAGTTGTTTGGAATGGCT